ATAGTAACCAAAGATAATGAAAAAAAAAAAATTCATCATGTTCATCAATTTGTAAGCTGACAGTATGCTTTAGTATTGAAGAAGTGCTGTGATGTCGTAAGACACGTGTGGTCTCTTTGCAAAAAAATCGATAATCTTTGTGATTTAAATGACTACTGGAACAAATTCTGCATTAAATTCAAAGAGAGCGATGCGTTAGTTCTACGTATGAAAGGTGCATTGTCGTATTTGTATCATTTATCGCCACAAATAGAGTACCACCAGGACATTTACAAAATTGTAGAAGATTACAAGTTATACTATGATAAAGAATTTTTTTTTGGACAGAATGTGTTGCTTCAATTTTTAAAACCTTTGGCATACTGGACATCTAAAAAGACAGATGTGGATAGCATCATTCAACGCTTGCACAAATTCTATACATCATTTTGCTTTCCGAAATATATTTTTACCAACGAGGACTCAATAGACACTGATAATTACACAATAAATCGTATAGGAGACTATTTTATAGAAAAAATAAACAATTACATAAAATCATCTTTTACAGCTCTTGGGTTCATATTCGATTCGACATCAAACACTACCCGTATAATACAATATTCAGACTACGCTACAGATATGTTGTTATAATATTTTTTGATTAGTGTAGTTGTATAATTTATAAATTAAAAAATGTTTGCTTTAAACTATTTAGAAAAATATTATTATTAGTTTAAAAATCTAATACAACTTATGTATTACTGTTTTAGTTTCATAAATTGGTTGTGCTCCAAAAAAATATCATAAATATTTCGAAATGTTATACAATTAAGTACAAATGTATGTCCCGTGAATGTGAGTGGATCATTATTAAAGTTGGTCATCCAGTATGATGTCCTAGGTTTTAATAAATCAACTTTAAATGGCCAAAAACGTAGAATTTCATCATTTTATGATTTAAAAAAATGAGAGGAAAAAACACCTGGTAGACCTCTAAATCTCAGATCTTATTATGTTGGTTTATAAACAAGCTACAAGATTAAAAATTTCCTGGTTTCGGGGGTGAAGGAGTTGACTTTTTCTACTTTGACCACCAAAGTATCATCTGCATATAATTCCGGATCTATAGTGGTGCTACATGTAACATGAGTAATTCGATTCATAGAAAAAAAATTATCGTGACTGCAGAAACAAAAAAAAAACGCATCATTATAAAACCAAAAGCTTATTGCACATCGAAGCTAAAATATAGATTAATATTTACGAATAGTCATTATAATAATGAAATTGTACATTTTTAAAGTCATGAATTATATTGATTTTAAAAATATAATTTTTCTCAAAATAAACAGCATAGTGTAGGTATTTCAGTTAAACTATTTTGACATATTTTACCTTAAGAAACACAGAAATAAACTCAAACGTTTATCATAAGCTAAAGAATATTTTTTTGCACTCCAATTTTTTATGAACCGTTAACCATTTATTATTAGTCTAAACAAAAGATTGAATTGTATTACTCTGCTGGACTGTCAATGAGTACTCATAGATTTTACGTTGTACCTATCTATACCAAGTAAATTATTTTACTGTTAATGTGTCTGTGTAAGTCCCGACTATGCCCGCCGATTATGTTTCATAAAACGATTAATCAGAGGCGAACGTTTTAAAACGTGTCACAATATTACGCTTCATATAACAGTAGTATCATAACGAATAGTCAATTTTGTTTAGGGTGCTGGTTTCAAGTCCATCCAAAGATCACGCGTTAGTAACGCTGTCGTGTTTCAAAATGATTTAGTAAATCAATTGGCGGAAATGGTCTGTTCCTACTGACCCGAACTAGGTAGCTTAATAGCCCAGCGGTGTACATAGACAATAGTGGGTAGTTATTCCAAAATGATTAGATACCCGGATGACCGATTTCGATCCATTTGTTTTCGAGTACTCCGAGTACACCGACTTGTGTTGTGTTTTATTGTTCGACGAATAGCTGTTATATTACCGTCAATGTTTATGACTGCTTGAATTTGAACATGAAGTCCACATTGTACAATATTTTGATTTTCGCTTCCATTTTCAGTAAGTAATTTTAAGTATATCATTCAAACGAAGTCCTATTATACATTAATCCGCACCCAGACCGTTTAATTAAATGTTTGAACGATATAATTGGTGTTCGAACAAAAATATTCGAAAAAACCGAGAAAGTATACCATTATCACGCTTGTACTAGATGTGTAGTTAAACTTTTAGTTTACTAAACTATCTTGGTTTACAAGTCGCAATATATTTTTTTATTAAAAAACTTCCGGCTTCTGGTAAGGAATATAAAAATAAGCCACCCTGCTCGATAAAACCCGTTAGAATTTCATTTTATGTGCTAAGCGTATTGATTTTACAAGAAGTGACAGAGGTATCTAGACGACTTTTAGATTGTTAATATCAGCAACACAAAGCAATCACACCCTTATAGGAAAGTAACGCAACCAATATTACTCAACGGTATGTGTAGTATTTGCATTTTTATTAAATACAGTGTTATTTATTCACCTTATTTAAAATTATGTTTAAATCTTCTAAAAGTCTTCTTAAGTGGTACCTAGGCGTATTTTTCAATTTAGTTTAGCGTTATATTGTAATAACAACACACTAACGTTTTATTTTTTTGGAACTAATTATATTTAATTTAAGGGTATTAGTTTTAGTCAGGGTTTCCCCATGAAAATTAAATTGTTGCGAGTGTAAATTTTAACTGAACAGTCAACAGTAAGAATGTTGAAAATAGAATACATCGATCGTAAGTGCTTTTGAGTTTCATATAACAAAAAAATTAATCATCTTATTTTGCTTAAGTTTCAGTAAATAGACTAGTGGTTATTGAGTAGTTTATTTTTAGGGGTTTTCTGAAAAAAATAAACACTTTGTAGGCAGGTTGGTGTTACTTAATAAAAATATATTAATGACAAGAATATTCCCGCATTTATAATGAACTTCCACAACCATTTTACAAATTCACCACATAGAGTTTTAGATAAAAGTTACCCTAATACACAAATAAAATATTAAATGATGCAATGTGATCTTTTTTGATCATACGAGTACATAAATTATTAGAAACGAAATATATTTAGACGCAAATATATTACTTCGATGGCCATTTGATAAAAAAGTAAAAATTATGCTAATAAACAAACACTATAGTTTATCTTTTAACAGAAAGCCAGCACGTGCGGTCATAGTGGTGATAGAGCATTTCAAGTAGGGTGAGATCACAAGTCTTCAGGAACTATTTTTTATTGTAACTAAATGTGTTAATAAAAGAAAAAGTTCCCCCCTCTCCATCTAGAAATAATAGGTTATGATATGTTTTAGATTGTTAACGTTTATCAATAGTAATTTATCTAAATAATATTTCATACCAATTTGGAGCTGTTTTGACTATTTTTAATATCAGTTATAGCTCGCTCATATTTGGTTCAATAAAAAAGCTTTCAGGAAAGATTTATGATCTGTATAATTGCTACTTAAAGAAATTGGTTTAGCGGTTTAGAAGATATAGTGGGCTCAAACATAAAAAAATAAAAATAGATCAATGCAAAAAATAATATTTTTAAAGCACATCGAAGCTATAAATGTTTCTTTAAAATTTAATAAACCCATCATGCCATTAAATGTATTATATTTAAGGAACCACTGAATGATAATATCTTCTATTGATTGTTTAAACCTTAAATGGACATTTATAAAACCCGAAAATAATGCACGATACAAATTGGTCGCATTTTTTAAAACTTGATTTAATAATTTAAAACTCAGTAGTAAATAATACTTAGGAATTAAACATTTATAGTTATGTATGTACTAGCTGTGTTACCCGAAAACATTATTATCACCATCGTTATTATAGTAAATTCACAGACGTAAAAAAAATGTTATCAAAAAAGAACGTTTTTAATTTCTACCCCCTTAGGGGTTGAATTTTGAAAAATAATTTCTTATTGGGTTTCTACATCACTAAACAAAACTACTGACCAAATTTCATACTCATAGCTTGAGTGATTCCGGCTAGGCGATGATGAATCAGTCAGTCAGGACATGTTTTTTATATATATATATAGAGAGAATATATTAGTTTGATAATAGATAATATCCTGTACATAGTGAACGCCATAAGTTATTGCACTGGATATATTTTATTCGATGACCATTTTACTAATTTGTAAGACGTTCTGCTTAATTTTTTTTTTAAATTGCTTTAGATTTATCTCATTTGCAACCATTAGTCAATGCCAATGCCGTAGGAGTCCATCAATGTGACTGTTCGGCTTGCGATTCAATATCCGACGAATTACCCAGTACGATTCGACCGACTCAAGGTGGAAACATATTATTCGAAGAGAAACCGCCGACGGTCATTCGGTATGTACCTCGCAAACTCGACTTCAAAAATATTGAAAAACTTGTTTACAACATACTCAGCGAGCTATTTGAACACTTCGAAATGGTTATATACGTCTCACTGTACAAGCTCAAAGTCTTCTATGACTTTTTCCGAAAATAGCGATCGATATTGTTATAAAATATGTATTGCACGTTTTAGGTTTTATTTTTTTCACTGTAAGTACTGTATTATTCTATCGAAATGGAAAATGTTTTTTTGTTGTTTTTTTGGTACCTTGTTGACGCACTTGATACCTACCGTGTAGAATTTTTTTTTACAACATGTATAGTTTCCTTATATTTTCGTGCACGTCAAAAAGGTATCACGCGAAACGGTAGTAAAATATTAAACTTTTTCATTTTTCATTCAATAGACAATAACATTCACAAATCTAAAAATATATTTTTAAAATTTCGGGTGTAATTTTTATGTTTTCTGTACACTTTGTTCAAACAGGAATAAAAGCGTGTTTTTGCACTTGTAATGAAATTAATAAACTACGTGTATTGTTATATTATTGTAATTTAATTTATTCTTTGAAATTGATTTGGTAGTTAATATTTCGTCACAAAAATGTGTATTTTAATTAGGTATAGAAATAACGATGGTATTTTAGATATAAAATGTATATAGACATATTACCGCATGTAAAATCAAATGGGTCTGTTTAAACGCACTAACGACTAATATAAGAATTATTTACTATACACTTCTGTTAAATTAATACGGAACTTGAACATTATTAACATACAATAATTGTTAAATCAATAAATTATTTCAACAAAATTTTAGATACAATGAAAATGTACCTAACTAATATGTAAATAAATAATTAACAATAGTTCCTATTTCTTTTATCGATCATTCGTCATTTCACTCTAGTGGGCGGCAGTATAACGTCGTAAGGATACAACATCAATATTTGATTGCACATATTCTTGGTAATGGAGTCCACTGAGGGTCCCACAACTGGAAACATTTCGTCTGCAAGTTGATTTGCATACTGATTGGCAAACCTCAAAGCCACTCGGCCTGTAAAATACACAAAACACACAAGTTCGCCAGGATAGTTGTGATTGTATCTATAATGAATGTTGGGTATTTAGTAATTAATGATCTAGCCCAAAGGGATATCCAGGTAACTAAATATATTAAACAGCACTTGGTAATATCTCTTTTTTACACATTATCTTTGGGGTTTTCTTTGTGGAAAATTCAACTGATAACATCGGACTTTGTAGTCTTTTCTTTTAACATTTTGGTTACAAAATAAATTTACCTTTGAAACACAGAAACTACTGTTTTCAATACTTTTAATGTACCGTAACATAGCCAAAGTCAGATTTTTTAAATTGTTAATTAACAATGGTCGAAAACAAGGCTTACATTATACCAGACATTAATGGCAGTTAGGGTATTATTAATTAAAAGTCTATTCTGTTTGGATCGTTATTTTATACATATTCTAAGAGTTTTGTCGAACTAGATTTAAGTAATACTTGACTGAGTCTTGACATACGCATCAAATACATAACATGGCCTATACTAGGTAGCTTTAAACATGAAAACTAAAAATAGTGTAGAACATCTATACACTCATGGATATTTGGTAGCAGTACCATTCTATATTAAGGCACTTTATATAACCCGTTATCATTTCAATTTTTTTAAAGTCAAATTATCACATCCTTACATTCATATATTTTTTAAGCTACGTTTTTCCTATTGAGTTTTTATGAAACTCCAGATTGAAAAGAATAAATACATTTTAATTGTCTGCCTGGGGCCAAGATAAACACAGTTTATTTGAGCTTTTGAATAGCATTTTGAAGGAAGGTTTGTTCGGATGTTGTGCCGTGTAGACGACTGTAGGAATAAAGGGATACGCAAAATACACCAATACAAACGCATTATACAATTATCAACAGATTTATTTTATGTGTATATTATTAAAAATCAGTGCTTGCAGACCAGAGAGAACACCTTCGTTGTACAAATAATGGTTTAGATAGAATATTACAAATTGATTAAAATAATACATAAGCATTGGGTATCGAATTAATATATCGAGATGCTGGTACATTTGGGAAAACGTAGCCGTTATGATTTGCATTAAATTTATTCCTGAAAGTTAAATTTGAATAGATATTAGATGTGGCGGAATAGTAATAAGTAAAAATGTGCAAAGATAATATTTTCGAAACAACAAGATGTTGTAAAAATTCTACTTTAATAGTTCGAAACATAATATATTACACATTATCTTCATAATATGCAATGCAATATTTACAATTTACTTTATATATTCATGTTTTATGTACATACAGTATAAACTAACATTTAGTGTTATTGATTTAATAAAATAGAAACAATTATTAACCGAAATAGAGCTTGAATTAAAAAGCATTTTTTTTATTCAATGCAAAACCAATGATTTTAAGTGGGCAACAGCTATAGTCATTTTAATATTTTTTCATAATTAAATATAACAATGCATTTAGTCGTCTAAAGAAATTTTGCCGGCAAACGGGAATAATGATTCAGAAAAGTATTATGTAGTGTATTCAATTTTACATTAAGCCTAAATCCCCATCGTAGTTGATATTTACATTATTAACAAAGTGATTAATACAAAATAATTAATTGACTAATTTTCCGGTAACGTCCATCTTCTATAATTGCATTTTAAAAAAACCCTCACAATAGGCTATACTTTATAGTTTGATTTATTTACACAACACAATAAATGTCATAAATTTGTATCTTTAGTAGTTAATAATGATGAGAATATCCGGTTAGGTTCATCAGAATTTTGGATTCCATCCTATCTCTATTTATTGTCTCATTATTAACGATAGGGTAGTTTATTAGGAATTTTCACAATATGAGTGCTTTTATAGGAGAATATTGAAAATAACGTAAAAATAAAACGGTCACATGGGAATGGAAAGAAGTAAGCCGGAAATTAGCAATAATAGACACTATCTACAAAAACCCGAAAGCGTATGATTGAATAAGGAATAAGGAAAGAATATTATATTGGCCATTTTTGATTAGACTCCATATTTTGTGAGCAGGAATAGCCGCTAAGGTAAAGAAAGCATAACTAATTTAGTTACTATGATTATATTATTACTGTGTACTCACTCAAAACAGCATTTCCTGCTACCAGTTCGGTAGCTTGAACTTTAGTTTCTCCAAATTTTGGCGGATGAGTAATTGCGTGATCTAGTTGTAAGAAAGTCTCATTTCCTAATTCTCTAGCCGTCGCCTTCATTAGGTAGCTGGCTTCTACGTCCTCTATGAATAATATAAAATTAAGAACAAAATTAACAAATTATTGAAGTATAATCAGTTATTATTGCTCTTACTGAAAGTAATATTGTATATTCCGTTTGCATTAATCGCAATTCTCCCCAAGTATCCTTTGAATTTATATTGGCCGGAAGTTTTGATGTTACGGTAGTGGGCTGTGAATCCAACTTCCACTTTATTCGGATTGATAAATTTTGATCTGCAGAAACATTGTATCATGTATTAAAAAGTTCAAAAATATTAATGAGGTTGTTCAGTAGTGAACATGTACATAACTCATATAAAAGCGTAAGGAATACGTTTTAGTTTATTGAAATGATATAAAGGTATATGAGTGGACTCAGAAAACTCAAATAATTAAATATAACCTCGAAAAAAAAATACTAAAATATAATAATTCTCGCTAGCATATCACTTAAGAAATCTTTTATTCATTACCCGGATTAAGAGTATTTCCTGTAATGTTCTCTTTATGTTATTTAAGAAATGTTAAAATATACAAGACAAAGACAAACTCTAGAGGCTTTTGAGAATAATAATGCACTCAAATACTTTTTCTTCGAAAATCGTATTTACATATAAACATACCATAAAGCATAAATACAACCGGGAACGTGTAAAATTTTAAAACATACAGTACCAATGGTATGAATAATGAAAAATTATTAATTTAATTTAAATGAACATGTCTGAAAGGTACATAAGAGGTTTATTCAGCTATATAATGTAAAATAAAGTATAAAAATATGCTGTACCAGAGAGACTCATAGTTGATATATCAAATTTCTAGGACTCATTTTGACGTAGCATTTTTAATTTTTATATATTATTAAATAATATGTTGAGAAGAGTACTACTCAGTAGAAAGAAGGATTGGTCACGGGAGATAAGTGTGAGGATAGCAAAGGCAGAAAGAACCTCTTTTGCACTATCCAAATTCCTCAAATCCAAAGCTCTCTCTAAGAAAACAAAATGAAGGCTATACGCGGCAATAATCAGGCCTACTCTCACTTATGGTTGTGAAGTATGGACAACAACAAGTGTGACAGTAAGAAGACTTCGAAAACAAAATATGGAGAATGATATGCGGGCCAGTTAATGACACAAGGACAAATTAATGGAGAAGAAAGTTCAATAAGGTACTTCAGGATGAACTGGGCTTAGCACCAGTTACTAGCTACATAAAAGGACAAAGAATACAGTGGTTTGGCCATATCATGAGAAGAAGCGAAGAAGAAACCATCAAAGCAGTTATAGGTAAACCAAAAAGTAAGAGACCTCGAGGCCAACCGACGAAGAGGTGGCTAGACGTAGTAGAAGGAGTTCTTAAAGCCTTGTGAGTACAAGAATGGAAGAAAATCGTTCAAGATCGAGAGAGATGGAGGGATATAGTGATGGCTGCAAAGACTTTAATGGAGTTATAAATGCCAGCGAAGAAGAAGATTAAATAATATGTTATACCATTGATTATAAATAATATAGATAGCCCACTGGCATGTAATTATTATTATTTATAATCAATGGTTATACTAATTAACGTAATTACGTTGTTTTTATTTAAAATGTAAAGACATTTTATTTCCACATGTCATATATTTAAACTTCAGCAACATTTTAATTCTCTAACCAAAATTTAAACATATTTTAGGACATTTTGATTTTTTTTTTTTTATATTTTCAAAAATTGTTTATCTATGTACATCATTTTCTGTAAATTTATACCTATTGTACTTTTATTACATTTTTTTAGTACGAATGATGACTATTTAATTTAATAACGATAGTATGTTCAATAAATTATTATAGGTATGCAACTGTTAGATTAATTTCTTACCTGAGTGATTGTAATTTAATTGAAGTTAAACCTTCTGTTACCATATTTTTAACTGAAATTTTTCCTCCGATTAAGCGTCCCTTTTGTTCAAAATGCAACGGACTTTCAACAAATATCGGTTCAACGGCACTCAGTCCAAAATCGTCCAAACCTACAATTATATAAATATATAATGGTTTTTTTCATAAACTGATTTAATTGATCAACACTTAAATATTATTATTATTTTTTACAATGTATTTTTAAACATGTGAACGTGTTAACTAATATAATTAGACAAAACATACGCAAAATTCAAATAGATAAGGTCAGGTGATAACTCCAAACAAACGGACCCAACATAAATGCAATTGAAATAAAACCAACAATGTTTTTGAGTTTTATTAAAATATGTACTTATGCATTTATTTAAGAAAATATAAATTAAATAGTGTTGATTTTTTTACTGAAAAGTCGAATTTACATTTGGCCCATTTGTTTACAATTACATGAACTTGCATAAGTCATAACAAAAATTACTTTTATACCAAACAGAAACTTAAAGAGAGACTAAACGGTACATTTTAGTGCTAAAGTAATATGTTTTAAATTTAACATTAAATCGTATTATTATTTTCTATACAGAGCTCTTAAGTCTCACATTTAGGACGCCAGGTTGTTTATAATTAATTGTCATTCTTGTGTGTTGATACCAAGAGAAAAGGTAAACTATTTGTCGTCTCTGTTTAGAACCAACATAACTCATTTATTAATGAACGAATGAGAAACGAAATATTTACGTAATCTCTTTGAAGTACCATACGACGAATTTTCCAAAAAAGAGTAGTATAATTCCTAAATATTTTCTTTTATGTTTTGATTGGAAGTTATAGACATTAATCTAATGAGATTATTTTCAAATTTGATATAGGGTAAAATATAAATAGGTATATATATTTTTTACGCAATAGTAGACTAAACTTATCTGAGTTAAAATTCAGTATGGAGACGAGTACCAAATTATCTTTAACTTCACACAAATATTATTAAAACTGAGTATTTACAGTTGTCACATAAAAAAGTGGTTTGTTTTTTAAAATGTCTTCAAAGCTTAAAGTTAAATGTTAAGAACGAAATCTACAATACACAAACAGATATTACAAATCAAATACACATTTGAATCAATGATCTATGGTATCGAATTTTGTGCTATGGCTTTAAAAGTTAATTCTATTGTCAAATAACACATTTACCTATTATATAATATGTCATGTGTACAGCCATTGGTTATTTAAATAATATTTTTAATTTACAGTCAATCGTACGACTTAAAATACATTTGTATGTAACTTGCTGTATAATTATAAAATATTTAAGTAAGTACAGCAGATTATTCAAAACTTTTGACAAAACAATTGTTATGCATATTCATATCTTTAATAATAAGATTAAAGATCGTCATGTCATGTAGCATGAGTTTTAGAATTATGTTAATTTTGTTTGTTAAGTTTTTGATGAATTTTCGGTATTATTATTAGCCTGCATGTAAAACGTCTATGTGTTTTATTAAGATTTCAAAAGTAAATTATTTTTCACATCTGTATTGAAGTCTAACCAATATACAACATTTTTAAATGCGTAATATATATTATTTTAAAAGGTTTTCGTAGAATCCCTGCTGTTGTTGTTTATAGCTTTTCGATATAACTGCATTTATTGAGATTTTGCATTGCCATGGTTGTTTTTTATAAATGCATATATAGAGTGATCCATTCCACGAGAAGCACTCGATCCCCTTTAAATAATTGCAATTTTTTAGTTTTTCATTTCGATAACATTATTTATAAAATTATGAAACTCATAAATATTTACTATATTTGTGTATTTTCTGGAACTCTCCCAACTTAAATGGTAGCGTAGTTATTATTTACTTTTTAAATTATGAATAATTTTCTTATCATTTTAACAAGACAACAATCAGTAAACATAATTGCTTTTAAAGTAATTAAAGTTTTTAGTTAACGACAGTAGTAAGGGAGTGAAATTTGAAAGGGGAAAATAATGAAGAAAACTACAAATAATGTAGTAACTTGCTTGTATTTGTTTGGAAGACCTTAAGATTTTAAGGATGTAACATTTTTGCGTCATAACTATAAATTATAATTTTTGATAAAGAAGTACGTAAACGCCTGATTATTGCTTTGGTTTAGTTTGAGTATTCGAAAAATGATCTCTCGTCGATTATAATATTTTTGCAACGAAATTGTAAATTGTAGGAGGTAAATTATTGTTGTAAAATTCACGAAATACCATTGGGCGATTCGGTGCAACTGTTTAGTATATTTTTTCTGTTTAATTAATTGTGTCTGTCTAATTTAGTTAAGATTTCGCTTAATTTTGTTCATAATGTTTTAAAACATTATCAATCGGTATTATTTATACCTTAATTGCTAAAATGTATGTACTTTTAAATTTTAACTTAACTTTAGATCGATGGAATTATTATTATGAACATTTTGCAGTACAACAAAAAAATATTCACTTTATTTTCAGTTAAAATACGGTTGAGTAATGTGTGGCTAAAATAGTAGTGCAAATCACGACATTCGAATACGTAAAAATCAATAATTACTATACTACCGATTAAAAACGACAATAATAATAATGGTCATTGTAAAATCGTAAAACAAAATTCCTTAACACAAAAATTGACCCATAAAAAGTTTTATACAATACCTTCATGAAATTTGTCGATCACATCGTTGATTCTTTCTCGGATGCAGCTGTCTATTTTTGGGTCGTCCCGAAAACACAAATCTGTTTGTTGTTGCGCTAAAAAACAAATAAACATATTTAATACAATGTTAGTCATTAATTAATCTGTATAGAATAAATTAATTTTAAAATGATGACGTATAATAAGCAGTGTATCCAAAGTATCCTTAGGTATAGTTATATGTTTATATAGTAATATCTAATTCACATACGGGAAAGTAATATTTATAAAATACCTAACTTTATGCTAATGTATACATAAGAAGTTTATAATCTAGAACTGGAACACGCGAAGAAGGATTGTGTGTACAAAAATTTAGTAATTCCATGCGTGGATTTTTCACAACATAATATTAGAATTTATAATACAGATCCATAGTAGGATGACAGAAATTGACAAGTATTTTTGTCAATTTTAGTATAAATTTACTGATATGGTATTACCGATAGGAAAGTATTACACAAAGTGGCGAAATTTGGTATGTCTATTGTATAGGTATTAGTAAACAATGGTTGCTAATATTTAATTTTGCTGATATGTCGAGATAAATAGTTTGATGTTTAAAAATGATATGTCCTTGGTTTTTAGTTGTGTTAAATTACTGGTGTCCCGTAACATAATATTTTATAATATTTATTATGAACACAACAAAACAATTTTATAACTTTGTTTCCTCTTGTAAATTTGAAAAAGTGAAATATCAACTTGTTCCATCGTACTACTGAGATATTCTTATGATAAATATGTAAAACAATAGCAATTTTGTGAGACCGGCGGTGTTTTATTTATTTTTTAAATACATTTTTTTTATCAGTTAACGTTATTTTACAGCCGAATAAAGTGAAAAGGTTCTGTTAATATTATAAAAATGTAATAATTTTTGTTCGAAGACGGAGTTCAATGGAAAATGTCGTTTTGTTAAACGAATGAAATATAATTATTTGGCACGTTTACGAATCACCAAGCGACCAGTGACGAGTAAAAAGACCGTACAAGCGTGCAACATATTATTTGCAGTTGATTGAAACTGTTTTGGACACGTTATATTCTTTTTATACTACACATGGAAAAATCCCATGCATACGGTATACGCGTTTTTCCTTGAAAACAATTCAATGTGTTACACGGCTGCTGAATAAAACGAAAGCGGATTTACACTAAATCAGCGCAATTTTTCACTTTGTAGAGGTGCAAAAAGGGTTTGGATTTGTACGTTTATTTTTTGTAGTAGGTTCATTTATATTTTTTACTCAAAAGATTTCTACGCCAGCAATATTTTAGACGCCACGTACTTTTATTTACATGCTCAACCGAGTGGCATAACGAGGACCGAATTGCGAGGGTCTCCATGAAAGGTTCATATATCTTATCAAAAGGGTAGGTGCTCTCCTTTATTTAAAGGAGTTTCTTTACTGAATGGATACAAAACTAAAGTGTAGTGACGAATAATTCGTAATCAATTTCAATACTCTACAAAGTTATTAATTTTACAAGTTCTTACTGCGAGACTTGAATTTTATATTCTTTGAGTTATTTAGTACCATAAAATAATTATTATTATTTGTATTACTTTAGTTCAGACAAGATTTTTAATCCAGAGTGTAAGACGTCCGAAAATTAATTTTCTTAAGTGAATTGTGAATATTTTTTACTTGAATAAAAATAACGTTGGTAAAAATTACTAGACTTCAATTTTGTACCGTAAACAAAAGTTATAATAACTAATAATAGATTAACAAGTCATATTAAATTTAAAAAAAGTACACCTTATTTAGTAGTTTCTAGTATTTAAAATGTTTAATAAGTTATTTTAAAACACTTTACAATAAAAATAGTGAAAAATAAATAAAGACATTTTTTCAAAAATATACTTGCTATTCTTAAGATTTTCGAGGTTAGGTTAGGTTAGGTTAGGTTAGGTACGACATAGTATGTGACTTTCTAATAATTACGTTTCTTAGAATAACAATTGTGATTCGTTTTCAAAGTACAGATAATAAGGTACTATTGTGTTATTTTTTAGCAATGCTCATTAGTTAAGTATTATTTATACTTATCAAATTTATGTTTTTAAAGATGAAAGGACTTCGACGTGACCTATTATAAGAGTATTACAAATATTGAGTATTATATCATAATGAGACCTACCTGAACACAAAATAAAATACGTAGTCATTAACACGTTAGAATTTCATAAGTAGTTATAGATTCTGGGAAAAAGAAAATTAATTTATGATCTGATTTTACTTACATAGTCGTTTAAAAACGTTAATGACTCAATTAAGTGTGTATTTTTTTAAACAAAAAATGGTTAGTAATATAAATCGACCACATAAATCTTAAACTAGAATTTTCCTGTCAATTTAAGTCGTGTAATACATTTTTGTACTCACTGACCATGGTGGTCTATTAGCAATTACAATTTTAAATTATATGTTTATAAACACATTTTAACAAATTAAAGACTGGTCTGGACTAAATGGATAAACAAACAAATTATTTATCGTGTTAAAGATATAGATTTAATAATGTTTATCTTTATATTAATTAACCAGTTAATTTCTTATATATGACACTACAATCTAAGCTGGGAATCGTCTGTAAAAACTTATTGTAATGAACGCAAAAAAAATCTGAATATGTATTTATTTATTGGTCCCTGCTAAATTAACGATTTCAACCTTTTTCAAACTAACAAAGTAATAGGTTAATTGTAAGCTCAATATTTGCATTGCTTCAATATCACAATTTATATACGTGTCATAAATGAGACTGATAATAGACCAAACATTTATTTGTCACTCCAGGTAGAGTTGTGGAATTGAATTTAGCATTTTTGAAAACTCTCCAGGGGGCAGGGAGTTCGAAATTGCATGATACTGACACATTGCAAAAAAATATACTTTATTATTATGAAATTCCGGAGATCCTAAATATTTTTGTCCAATAGACTGTATTGTATTCGATTCGTGTTATAAATATTCAACTAACTGATTGGTGGTGGAAAAAAATAGAACTTGCGGTTAGTATGTAGCGAAGTTAAAAACGCAGACTTACCGGAAACGGTCAATATCGCTGTGCAACTCAAAAACTTCAACATCCAAAACCAGGACCACACAGGTTTAGTTTGCATGTTTGCACAAAACACGGTTACCAGGAAACTTTGGTAGGGTCTGCTAGAGGATTATCGTCCGATCGAGGCAATGACACGTCCTGTTCGATTATTTGTCGTTCCCGGAAGACTTATAGCTAATCTACTGGCGACCGATTGGTTTGGGACCGATAACGGATCCACACGGTACTGCAGTGATCCCCACGATTATACTATATTATTATTATGTAGACAATATGCCGGATCATAATATCGTGTTCCCTACGGATTCTGTTTTCATATGCATTGTTGTGTGTTTTATTGTCGGCCGGAGGTGAAACTTTTTTTTATAATAATAATTATAATATATATATATATATTGATTGCGCATGATTGAAAAACCCTACTCGACGATAAGTACACTTCCACGTGTGTATGTATGTATACTGACACTAAAAAAGCAAATATACAAAACAATTATTATTATTATCAGCACCATCATCATCGAAAACTCATTTTCACCAGAGGCGGTGATGCAATGCGCCCGAGAAAGTTCAAAACTGTTTAAATTTATAATGGTTATATAGTTTTCGAATGCGTTTCGTAAACGTTGATTGGATTAATGATATATAGTTTCGTTGAATAGACCGCCCGTTATAAAACAATATGTTGAACACAACCGGAATAAATAATACAACGATAATAATAATAAGAAGGTATTTTTCGTATGTATTTAAAGCATTCCCTATTATTCATCCACCTCTCGCCTCCTCTCATTAAAAAAAAAAAATTGTATGTTGATTTTATTTTATAGAAGCTTCTATTGCATTGCTGATGGCTTTGGCAACTTATGAACTTTTTAGACGTTTGCCTATTACGAGCAGTAGAAAATTATTTGGTTTATTTTTGGGTACATGTTTATTTATTTGGACCAGTCATATGGTCTTATTTTCTTTTCAAGAGGATAAACTTCTATAGGTTGCGCTAAGGCGAAATTGATTGTGCTTTATTTTTTATGTGAAATAATATAGTACTTAAGTAAATAAATTGAAATTTATCCCACGAACTCGCAAAGAAAAAACGTATGGAAAGAACAACATTATTCATACAATAATATTATCAAACACCTACTCAGTTTCACGATGCAATAAAATAATGAATGACCCTGGAATTGTCTTTAAACATAAAGTGCTCAAATTAATGTTTATGTCTAACAGTCATGCGCTTTTATGTTTTAATGTATGTAAAAAAATAAGTGTAATAACTACCATTTTTTCTAATTTTACAGAACAATCATATTTTATTTATAAAATGTCAATTATCCTTACGTCTTAGTATAGCTTAGTATTTCGTTCCCACATTTTTTTATTTGATTTGCATATAGGTAAGGTTTGTATTCATAAATCGTAGGTTACAGTTATGTATATTCTCGTAACCTTAAAAACGGTATATATTCGCCTCAATGATAGATTATAACGAAAAAATATATAATTTGTATAGTACCTACCAAACCAATAAGCACAAAATATCATCTTCATAATTATTATTATTTACACCATAAAATAAATAGCTATTTTTAGTGAACTTATTAAATATATAATATTTTCATCGCGTCTTCCTTCATAAGCTGCTTATTGGCCATCGATTTTGATGACCCAAAACTTTTTCCGGTCTATACTTTTTAGTAGTCTCTGAAGTAATTATGGTTTTAAAAATGTATTTATTTCAAAACATTATTATTATAGTATAGGCCAATACTGTGGCAGTCAAAATAAAAACAAATATTTGGTATGTCGAAGAAGTAATTTTATATTGTAATTTGGTGTAGTTTTATTGTTTTATCATTTGTCCCCCAGTTGTATGGTTACTATTTAACGGCCTTAAAATTTAAACTAAGATAACCCCCGGCTGTGAAAAATAAGTCTATACAACTCAAAAGTTACTTTTTTAGGGTTGTGTCAAAAAAGTCATTGTTTATGTTAGATGCATGGGGATAATTCATACTTCCATATCCAAAAGAGCATATAAGTGGACTTATTCCCTTCTACCTATAAACCACATTTCCAATATTTTTTTGAAGTCTTGAACGCATGTGACTCGTGAAATATTTTATGATATTGGCTATCGACCATGTAGGAAATCTTTTTTCTACATTATTAGAAATGTTGAGTTTTGCAATAAACAGTAATAATGATTTATATAGGGACTGCAACTGCTTACAGTAAAAATCAATACGTTAAGTATCGGGTCTTGGGTTTAATTGGTGTGATTTATGAATTTATATTTGTTTATTTTATTAAGTTATAATAAGAAAACACAAAAATTAGACAAGAGATTACGGAGATCTAATTTTAGGATATTTTATTACACGTTTGGTTATAACACCTAAACTTTTCGATGCAAATCTGTAAATGGCTAAGCAAACTTAAATATCGACAAAACTAACATTGCCCTTAAATCGTAGTATACTTATGGTAACTAATTCTAGCGTGTAATAATTTTTTAAAGTATAATTTTTTATATTTATACAAAAAAATAACATATCATTTAACATGTAGTAGAATCTTTTAAATTTTCAAAAAGAGATGGAAGGAAAAAAAAGAGGTTGCATGGGTGGCATTTCACTATCGATTTTCGTGGGTGGTATGGGATAAACGTATCAAAAAGGTATTTAATTGATCATTACTGAGGAAAAGACTTTTGTAGAGTGAGTTTTCTAGAAGTGTGTATTTTTTCAATTTCGAAAAAAGGGTGCACTTTTTCTATTATTTTTCATACATGAATATGTTGGATTTCTAACCTAGAGACTTTACATTTAAATAAAATCAGCCGTCATTGTAAAAACAATTCTGTCTCAGATTCACGCTGGCGGTAAGATAATGATTATAATAGAATCTATTGTAATTGTCCGAAAGAGTGAGATACTCTTTTGAGTTAGCTAACTTCGGTTACCAACTCATCCTCCTATTCCGTGACAAAATCACGTTGGCCCAATCTTTTGGCGCCACAAAGAGGCAGTCGACGAAGCGGTCGGCCAATTGGGGCATAAGCATCATACCGGCCTCGCGCATCCTTGACCCACCGCCCAGGGGGTTACAGTACAACCCGTGCTTGAACACATCTCTTGCCGTCCAGATGCCCGATTGTCTATCACGACCGTATCGGTGGCTCAGGCTAACACCGAGAATTCGGAAACGTTTAAATAATAATATGTATGTGCGTTAATAATCAATCAAATATTGCTGTGGTATAATGCGTATACGGTCGGCCACGATAGCGGCACAGGAAGGGGACGAGAAGGAAGCGACGGCAGTTATAAATAGCCAGCATTCACTGGGAGCTTCGGAAACGAGCAAAACCCTATCTACATCACGGCGCGGTGCATATCCTCTGGTATTTCGCCTGTATAATATAATAGTATTTAGCCGCTCTGGCTAAAAGTAAAAGCTTGGCTAAAAATAGGCCTGGGCGGTCGCGCCGACCAATCGCCGTCCGTTTTGTGTGTCAAGCGTGCGTTGCTGATCTCTTCCTAGATAGAAACTGTGCAAAGAGTCTCCTTCAATCCGGTGAGGACAGCCGTGCCGCCGACAAGCTCAGGTTGGTTATAAAAAAATAATATGTGTAACGCATCGCAAAACATTCATATAACCTAAATAACATTAATACCGTATCAGTTGTAGTTATTATATTTGTTTTTCCGGACTTGCTGTAAAAGACTTTCGGTCCCCAACACGGCATAGCAAGTCGAATAATAATATTAACAAAAAAAAAACACTATCAATATAAACGTATTAAGTATTAACGAAATAACTAATGTAATTTGGACCCTTTTTTGTTTTTGATTTTATTTCAGACTCGTTATTATCGCGTCCGGCCCAATAGCAAAACCGCAGCAAACATGGATGATGAAGTGAGTTCGAACAATGTTCAATTGTACTAAAATAGCTAAATTGTCTGGTTGGCTCTCCGAGTCACCCTATTAATTGTACCAATGTCGATATTTTTTTTTAATAAAACGACCAATGCGGATCTGTTTCGATTTTGTAACGTGTGTTGTGTGTGCGTTAGGCGAAGAAAGCCAAACAGGCGGACATCGACCGCAAGAGGGCGGAAGTCCGGAAAAGAATGGAAGAAGCTTCCAAAGCCAAGAAGGCCAAAAAGGGTTTCATGACTCCGGACAGAAAGAAGAAACTTCGTGTGAGTATTGTGTGCTCCATTTATATAATTGGCTTTCTAAACGCAACTTTGTCACCCGCAGCTGCTTTTGAGAAAGAAAGCGGCCGAAGAGCTGAAGAAAGAACAGGAGCGTAAAGCCGCCGAAAGGAGAAGAATCATCGAAGAACGGTGTGGGCAACCCAAGAATGTGGACGACGCCGGCGAAGGTGAGTCAACAAATTATTATTATTTTTTTTTCATTTTTTACAATCAAGTACTTAAGTCAATTGTGTCGAATATGTGATATTCGTCCTTAATGTAATGATGCAAATTTCGCTGTTGAGCGAATGCCAAACATCAAGTGCAAGTTAGGATAAACATTATTGCACCGGTTAGACGGTTCGACATAATTACAATTATTATTACTGTTTATTAACCTGTTGTTGTTGTTGTTGTCGCGGTGTTTCGAAACTCGGCGTTATGTAGATACGATCAAGAGGGTGATAAAAGATTATTACGAAAGGATCCTAAAGTTGGAAGATCAAAAATTCGACCTGGAATACGTTGTAAAAAAGAAGGATTGGGAGGTTAGCTATTACGAGCTATTTCCTAACGCTTTTAAAAGTCATATATCTCTCTTCCTCAAGGCTTAACACTAAAAACAATTTAGGTTTAATAAAAAGGCGCTAGTGTTGTATTTGTATATTAATATTACTAGAAGGTGGTGTTAAATAGTAATACATATAACCGATACCTAACGAAATTGTAGTGAAGTAGCAGACGTTTCTTTAAAAAATATTTTTGGCGCTAAGAAGTAAATACATAAATGAGTGATTGCTTTTGTATTTATTTATTTGGCTGCTTGACATTATATACTTATTGTTTTAAAAACTCTTTCGTCGGAAATCGGCCGTTTTTTGGCTAAACATCAACATGCAAGGGCGTCGCTGTCCGACGTATTTAATCGCTTTGGCCGAGATTAAAAAAAAGGCACGCACACACTTTGAGAAACGTTTGCCAAAACCGCAAACAAATGACTCCAAATCTTGAGCCAGACACAATCGCTTCCAATTACTAACTAGGCAACGGCCAGTATCCGAATTATAAACTACAATGTATGTTAAATATGTCTCCCATTCACCTTGGGCGATCAGCAAATGATCCGGGAGAGTAACCCCGACAGATTATCCTTGATGACCCACTTGGTTTTTCTTTAAAAAACGTATATATACCGTTTAGATACTTTTTAATAAAGCATACATGGGGAAAAAAATACTAAAATAATATATCTAAAATTCTTTTGATTGATGAAGTTTTATTTGCTTGTTATTACTCAATGTGTTATGCTAAGATAAGGTTTTCAAAAATCGTTAAATATGTATTGAAAATTACAAAAAAAAAACCAAACAAACTGTATTCCATGCTAATGACTATTATCAGACAAAAACTTTTAAAAAATATAACCATGTCAATTAAATATTAATTCCATATACTTTTATTAAAACTTAATTTGTTTAAAGTATAACACATATTTATATTAATTAGTATATGTATTCTTCCTGCATAATATAATTTATTTTATATTATACAATAGTAGACTATCGTTCTTCAAAGTTCTAACACTTAAAGTCCAGAGAGTTTACGATCTCCCTCTTCTTAGCATTTTATGTCTAGGAGGGCCTAGGCGCTATGGTTATTGTAAAGATACTTATAAGTACATCTATGTAAGTTGTTACCCAATTTATGAAGTATAAATAAATAATACTAATAATAAATAATACTGCTATACATTTCTGGAAAATTTCATTATTTTCCTAAAATTACGTCCAAATATTCGTATTATTCAATAACTAATAATAATATCAACAAAAGCTTAACAATTAATATATTAACTATACATTTAAATTGTTCAAATATTTGTTTTCTTTTTATAATGCTACTTTCTACTATGACAAATGTATACGTAGGTTTCTTTTTACTCTAGAAAACATTTTATCTAACCTAATTTTTGAGCAACCGTTTACTATTGACGGTATTTGCTTTTTTTCTTTTTGAATTGTTTAATAAAAACAAGTAATATAATTTTTTTTATTTCTGGTGTTATTTTTTAAAAATATTATATAATGTACATTTTTACTTTAAAATCATCTTACATTTTGTAAAGGTATATTACAATTTACATTTCAGTATAAATTAGTCTCAAATATAATTTAATGTTCTAAAGTTGTGTTAAAAAAAAATGGAATATAAAATGTAACAATTATGTGTCCAGCACTTATACTAACCGACTCAAGTTGCACATTTGTCACACTCTCATTAAAAAAAAAAAGTCTGTCGTGAGCGCTGAAGATGACAACATTGTTGCCGAAATACGACGTATTCGCGGAGAGTATATAATTTTTATGGTTAAGGGTTTTTATTATTATTTTATTACATATTACCATAAGGGCTTAAGTTTTTTTTAGACACTCTCATTACTTTATGCAAAACAATATTACTGATTTACGTATTACATTGTTCTGGTAGTAAAACACGACATATTCGATTTTTAAATATTTGAGAGAATATTGTTTAATCACAGTACCTATACGTAAATGAATAAATCAATGGGAGTATCATCTACTCTATTGGCTATTGTGGACTGACAGACGGGAGATTGACACGTATTTGACCTATATTTTGCATACATTGTTATTGTTTTTAGTGTTTTACTGTACGAAAATATAATGCAATCGAAAAAAGTTATCAGACGCATATGAAGTATAGTGTTAAACAACTACATTATTATTATTATTATATTGTTATCGTGAAATTATTTCGAAAGTTGTTTACGAACTTACACCGTGGAAAACGAACTAATGTAGTTTTGCATTTTTATCTATTCCGCTGTCTAACAGTAATGATGTTTAGAGGAAATTGGCGAGATATGCGAAGAGTTGTGGAAGCGGGTATATCACTTGGAAGGCGTTAAATTTGATTTAGAAAGAATTATCAGGATGAAAGTTTTCGAGGTAATATTTAATCGATGTTGCAGCATGTTCAGCATCTTCCAACCCTTTTTAATCACGATCGTCTATTCCTGTTTGTAGCTATGAAAACACATAAACTACCAATTAAATATCTTATTAGTTTTTTATTAACGAGTAGGTAAAAGGTAATGTTCAAAATGCGTGGAACAAAAACCACGTTTTTGTTAACCTTAAACGGAATCTACTAAATAAATAAATCGCACAAATAGTTTTTGCAATTGGTGTATTAAAAAAAAAAAAAAAGAGTCACGCGGACGGTCTGATAAAAATGTCATACAAGAATTAAACAAATATCTTAAAATGGGAACTAACTTGTTGGTTAATTAAAGTCTTAACTTGTAATTTATGTCTTAAAAAAAAGTGTACTGAATACTCGGTCCCAAGGAGTAAACAATGGGCCAGTGAGATAATTTATCCCTTTTACAACTACAGTCAGTTCGCCCCTGTTTTTCACTAATATTATATTTGTATTTCTTTTGAATTTTGCTTTATTCTTTATTCGTGTGTTTTTAACCACTTTGATATTATAACGTTTGTGTCTTGGTAGAAAATTACTTTTAGATATTTTTGTTTTGCATTGTTTGCTCTCTACAACAAATTGAAATAATATAAAACCTCGATATTTTCTTATAACCTTTGATGTGTGTTCGCTTTGCAGATCAGCGAATTGAACAGCCAAGTAAACGACTTAAGAGGAAAATTGTGAGTGCCATACGCGTTTGACGCAAGAAAAATGAAATAATGATAATTGTTTTTTTTAATGTTAACAGCGTCAAACCAACTTTGAAAAAAGTGTCCAAGTATGAAAATAAATTTGCCAAACTACAAAAGAAAGCTGCCGAGTTCAACTTCAGAAATCAACTGAAGGTCGTGAAGAAAAAGGAATTCACCTTAGAAGAAGAAGATAAAGAGGTGCGATTATTATAAATAACATATGTAATACAATTTCCGTTCAATCATATAAAAATGTCGGACGTGGTCTGTTTGCAGAAAAAGCCGGACTGGTCAAAGAAGGGCGATGAAAAGAAGGTAGTGGAAAGCGAGGCATAAGTTCCCGCACGACTACCATTGTGTTCCCGTTTTTATCCAGAATTTATTTATTTCATGATATTATTATATATGTATGTTTTATTATTTCACCACCAGCATGTATTTGTTATCTACATAAACAATCGAAAACATGTAGTTACTTGTTCCACTCGGATGTTCTGTAAATTACTTATAAACGTTATTTTGTGTACATGTTTATTAACAATATAATAATAACACAAAAAACAAATATCATCCCAATAATTACACCCTACATCCCTCCATTTACTGTATCACTTCAGAAATATGTACCTATCTCCTATCAACAGAATATTATACTCATGAAGTGATACACGAGCCTAAATTTATGTATCGCGAATATATAAAAACTTTAATGTTGTTATCTTATCAATTATAATCATATTACATTTCAAGAATCAAATCTATTTTGGTAAGTTGATTTTCACCCAGTTTCGCCAAAAATTTAACAAGCCAAATTTTGCAAAGAAACACAATTATAATTGTTGTGGCGTACACATGTTTTGGTGAAAATAAGTGATCGACTTATATTCGTACAATAATTAAACATCAAAGTATATGCATGTTAACTATATATTTATCCATTAACAATTGTATGACTTGTGATTTAAGTTATATATATGTGCATCCTTTTCAATATGTTTTTCCAAATGTAACCATTTTTCTACTTATGTGATATTCTTCTGTTAAATTGTTTGGTTAATTATGTGAACGTTAAAACATTGAATTACCAACATACAATTAGTTATAGACTTGGATCATTCGCTAAATTATCAAAATGTCATTGATCTAAGATTATAGGTACCTATTGGTGTTAATACAATGATAATTCACATGCTTTCTGTTGGTAAGTAATTTCCTACCGGATAGTGGATTTTTTCAGGTGAATATTAACTGCCTAACAATCAAACTGTGGTATTTTCCTGTTAACAAAACCACATGAGTGTATACTTTTTTGTAAAATAGACCACATTTTTTTATACTTAAAATCCATTTGTGTATAATTTTTGTAAACAGGAGTCATGATCACATTTTTCTGTTTGATTAAATATTAAAATCTCTAATATAAAGCACCTAGTAAAATTAGAGAATATGTCATTTTCTATTTCTGTTTAATACACGCAACAAAATATTTTAGACTAAAACATGTTTTATAACAGTAGGTAGCTGCTATATAATTATTTCTAGCAGGAGAGTACCCAAACTTTCACATAAAATAAAATAATGTATTCCAGTAACATTATTTCACTTTATGTCATGAATGAATAAACATGACAAAAAACGTACAATATTTATAAAATATTGAAATAATTGATCTTTATTTAGGCAACTCATATCTACTACGTAACATTTATCATAATATTTATAAATTATTTTTCCAATATCAAATTATTTTAAACTACTTGACAACACTATGATGAATGACATCGTTTGTTAAAATATATGACAAATAGGACAACATACATAAAAATCCACTTTTAATGAAACTTTCCAATTAAAAAAAAAATAACTTTTATAGGCAGTTAGATATATTAGGAATTTGGAAATTAAATTAAATATTTTTGTAAATAATAGCTATAAAGTTAAATTTCATACTATTATTATTATTCCACACCTATTTCGTATTTTGTGGAAAGTTAGTTAATTAAAGTTTTTAATTTTGCATAATATTTACTTTTACATAGTTCATTGGGGGACTAATTTGATAATGATATTTTACATTAGGATGAACAATCTGTACCGCTGTCTGGCTATTCATCATTACTTTTGTTCGAGTTACTTTCATCATATAATAAATTGACAGTAGCAAATCCTATACATCATTTTTATAAAAGCATGGACACCTTCTTAGCTGTGCACGGAAGCTAAAATGTAATTGTTTTAAACTGGGTAAAATTGTTGAACGTGAGAAGGAATATAATTCCCTACTACCACGTCTCATAAAATACGCAATCAAACGTTGGCATGAAGTGTAATATGCGCTTATCTTATGGAAAATATCTCATTCGGTTGAAGATCAAACGGTGTTTTAATTTATTAAACCAAATTGTTAGTAATACCTCTGAATGTGTTTAAAAAGGGCGAAGGAGAAGAAGAAGGCGAAGACGATAACAAGACGGACGACGGTCTGACTACTGAAGGCGAATCGGATGCGGGAGCTTTGACTGATGCCACCGACGACCATGGTCTAAGTGATGCCGAAGTGATCGAACCCGAACCAGAGGTTGAACCCGAACCAGAACCACAACCACCATCTCCGGCACCCGAAGGTAACGTCTTCATAGGATATTGTCCAAACGACTTTGTTGTATTTTACTCATCTGCCACTGTTTTCGGTATTTTTGTGCAGAACTTTGGGCGTACCTGAAGGACACGGTTTGTTCGAACAACCCTCTGAGCGTTGACGATTTGGTCGATAAACTCATGACAGCCGTGACGGCTATACCACAACCGTTGCTCAACTCGGTCGTCAAAGACACCATCAAGAAACAACAGTCGGTGGACGAAGGTAAATCAATCTTTAGCGTACTGGAAAATGATTAAATGCGATATAGCTTAGAATCCAGCTGTTTAAAAGTCATTAGACCATAAAAAAAACTATTAATTAAATAAGCTACAAAGCCGTTATAAGTCGCAAACAAAATTTTCTTTGTAGAGACTTTTGTTCAATATTCGCTAATTTTACTTGAATTGGTAAACATCGAAGTAGACTATAATACTATGTACATGTTGTCTTATCATAGCTGCAAGCACATTTTCACATTTCTACTGTAAATATAAACTCTACTTAATAATGTTTGTTATAACGACATTTTCCGGATATAAGGTTAGGTATAGTTTTTAATATATTATAAGTGTAAGTATAGCTTTTGTGTATTTTACTGTAAGAACAGCGTATTTGCAGTTGTTTTATCATTTATGCTAAGCACAGCCACTGGTAACATCTCATTCAGTAGCACAACTTATTTAATGCACGAGACTAAATACTAATGAATAATCGTCTAAAGTTATCTTCAATATTAAATAATACAAGCATATTTTTTTTTTAGCACTGTAGGAAGGTAGGTTCTGTTCTCAAGGGTTTTTCCGATTTTGGGACCAATCACTAATAATCTTGGTCTATTCTCATTAACAACTAAAAAAAAAAATAGTCTTCTCGAAGTCGATACTTCAGTGACTACTGACGGTACATTTATTAGGTTTTAGAGTTCAGTTGGCTTCTTCTAGTGTTTTTCGGTAAAAAAAGTTATGTCAAAATGTACAATATTTGCAAGTGATCATCCAAGAATTTTTATATTATTTTTTAGTTAAGAGAATGTTTTACTGGTGAATTACCATAATTACCTAAATTTATTTTTACCTTTTACAACGTTATGCTTACACTTACATATACCAATCGGTTTTAGGACTCGAAGGTGGACCTCCAGCTGAAGGCGATCCTAATGCGCCAACGGTGGATGGTACACCTGCAGATTCAACTGCTCCTGCTGACCCAGCAGCGCCGACTGATCCGGCTGCAGCACCAAATGATTCCGCTATAATTCCTTCTGCTGTCCCGACTGACCCTGCCGCAACTCCAACCGATCCTGCTGCTGCTCCGGCTGATCCCGCTGCAACTCCTGCAGATCCTGCTGCAGCTCCTGCGGATCCTGCTGCAACTCCTGCGGATCCCGCTGCAGCTCCTGTGGATCCCGCTGCAACTCCTGCTGAACCCGCTGCAGATCCTGCTGTAGCTCCAGCTGTGATTGATGAATCAGCCAAGTCTGAAGACACGCCAGCGCAGCCCGCCGATACAGCACCAGCAGCGGAGACACCAGCAGGTATTGTTACATTTCCTTGACCCCTGAATAAATTATAAAGACAACGTTACAGTATAATAGTAGTGGCAGTAGTATCAGTGGACACATCAAACTTGTTTAAAGTAATACACAATTAATTAGAGTATAATGCACTTAAATATTTCATGTTTATTATGGTATGTTTAATTAATGCAATTTTTGTAACGTATGTTTACAGTTGCTGCCGAATAATTCTTAGTTGATCCAATCCCAAACCGAGACTTTCAATCGTGCATCTTGTAAATGTTTTGATTATAAATTGACTGGACTGCTGAAATAATCGTTATTGTATATTTTGAGCTATTGGGTTAATTTTATTGTAAATTTTACCAATTGTGTATTTTTAATACTGTATAAAAATATACCTAGTGTTCAACAATCTACAATAAAAGCCTAAATACGTCAGGCTTTATGTATAAAGAAGAAATGATTAAATGTAACATTCAATATTCACACTAAATGTAATTAGTTATTACTAAAATGAGTATTGACAATCAAAACAGGTATTCAGGAATATTATAACTGAGTGATAAATTCTTCGATAAAAAAAAGTGACTACCTACAGATTTTATTTGTTGTTTTACAATAAGATAAATTTCCAAATATTTTCTCTTTTATATTTTTTAAGCTCTACAGCGTTGAAAACTATCGACCGTTTTTTTAGCCAACACATTATTTTTTGTCCATTGCACAGGCCGAACCAGTGATCCGATAAGCAATCTAAAAACAGATATGAATTCGTCATGAAGTTTATTTGAAATCGGTCAAAGAATTTTTTTAAGTTTTTTATTTTAACCCTTTCTAAATTTAGTTTGAAAATTTGAAATTTTATAAAATGTTCAAACGTGTTTTATGCGTAATAGGAATAAGTTATCAAAAAAGTACGCTGGCCGATCTGAAGTAAACTTCATGATGAAATCAAATCTGTTTTCAGATTACTTATCGGATCACTGGTTCGGCCTGTGCGATAGACAAAAAAATGTATATTATATTAACTAAACTGGCTTTTACTCAGAGACAAAATAATTTAAATTAAAAATAATACCACGAAGCTTATACAAATTAACTGGTAAATTAATTGACATGGACGAAATTTATTAAAACCCTTTTTTTTAAAAATATTATCTCTACAAAACTCCTTAAAATTGGTCGGTTTCCAGGGGCCTGAAGTTGAGAATTGTCTACTAACTCTGACTGATTGATATGGAAATTTTATAATATTGCAAAATATTATACCAAAAAATAATAATCAAAAAAAATATTTTCAAAAAAAAAAGGTTCGATTATAAAAATGAGTATTATTGTCGAAAATATGGTGGCTTATTATATTAAATTGATCACCCTGTTAAACCATTACAAACAAAAATTAAATATCAACTTAAATCACAATAAGCACCTGGTGCAGGTAACATTATGAAATCGTATAATAAGTATTGTAATTGTATATTTGTAATCGTGTTTTTTGTCAGCTTTGTCTTCAATAAAAAAAATGTATAAATAGATGTTTGAGAAACATATCACAGAATATAAGAATGATAATATGGTAAAAAGGGTCACACTAGATCAACAATCATCTAATTTTGATACTTAATGTCCACTAAGCAATAATCACATTAATGGTTAACTACATATAAAAAAGCGTTAAATAAAGTATAAGTTTTCACTTTTTTTATGGGATAGAGTTAATGATAATTCCTGGATTTTGAATAATATCACACGACCGACTTGCCTTTTTTCAAAATTTTAAAGTATGCCGTAAATTTAAACTGAAAAATTAGTAAACAATTTGTGTTTTTTTTACTGATTAATAATATTAATGCAAAAACTACAATGCATGAAAAGCATTCCATTTATGAGTAAGCACGGGTTATGTTGTTAATTTCTTTAATTCAATAATTAATAAGAATCATTATTTGATTTTATTTTATTTAATAATTACTTAAATAGAAATATATTTAAAAAAAAATGTAAGTTTGTGGAATTATTTTGAAATTTGTAGTGTTTTTAAAATTGTATACATTTCCACGCTATATTGCCATGATTTGGTTAAATAAAACAAATAATAATAATAGCAATTGTTCTCAGCTATACAAATAATAAGAATCTAAAAACTAATTAATTTTTTTATCAGTTTGAATTATTTTTGGGTAAAGAAATTATTAAGTCTGAAAGCGATTTTATCACAATCGAACACATTCTAAAAAACGCTTCAATACCAATCTGTGTATACAGAACCCCATATTAATATTTTTTTACTATGTTGGTGTATATTGAGTTGGATTTTTCCTATTCACACTCGCAGATTCGCATCATCGCGTTTGATTGTAAAAGTGAAAGAACTTCCAGATTTAAATATTGCTTCAAGCAAACTTCGCCAACTTCTTACTATACTGAATTGTACTGTGCTTGATTTAGACGGCTGTGTTAACTTAAACCATGTTGTTTTTTCTGGTAATATAATAAAAAATCTAAGCCCCATGAAGACTATAAGAAGTTTTTCTCTTTCAAATAAAACAATTAAAAAAGTCCGATTGTTCTAAAAGGAATCATAACTAATCTTTCAGGCATATTGAAAAATGGCTTTTGTGTAAAAGAAATGTACGTTAAGGGACTCCTACACTAGCGTTTATTAAGGCAATGTTTTACTAAAACTTAACAGTAAGTTAACAGTGAGTTTTTACAGGAAAGAGGGCTCTATTTTTATACATTTTTTTTTCTTTCTAACTTTTATAACGCACATAGGTTTTATTTTTGTATACAAATATGTGTTCTACTTCGAACAGAAAGTTGTTAAAAATAATCCTATTTAAGTTTAAAAAAAAACATTTAGCTTCTTCAAAACTTTTTAAAGGGATCGTGGGCCGTGGCAAAATTTTCAAATTATTTATTTGTTAATTAATAATTTCTATAGGAAAAATTGCAATTTTTACAATAACGTTAAAAACGAATATAGAAAAAGGTACTTGGACTGATCGATCCGTTCTGACTGTAGAGCACGGCGTCGCCGCACTCGTAAGGGCGTAGCTATAGGCCGCCGTCGCCGCGCCGATGGAAAATAACGCCACCTCTTGAGCGTTGGTGTCGAAATACTTTGAGGTGGACGCCCTCTTAAGGGGTCACTACACATGCGTATTTTTGGTCGAAAACAACTCATTCTAATAATTCAACGCACTATTCCTAAGAATACTCTGATTATTTCAGTTGAAAATAATTCAATTTTTAATTTTTTTATATTAAAATAATTAATTAAATGAAAATAATTTTAAAATTGTACTACGACCGATGCCTTGAAAATGTTGTGAAGAATGCAAATGATTTTTAAAAATTTAAATCGATGCATTCTTAAGAACAGTACGTTTGAAGTAGAAACATGTGTTTTTTTACAAAAATAGATCCTATATGCATTAAAAAAGTTGAAGAAAAAAATAATTATTAAAATAGATACTTCTTTTTTTATAAAAATTGAATATACAATGCGCCTTAATAAATGCTAGTGTAGAGGCCCCTTAAGCAAGTATTGAACAATCTAGTCGTATATCAGTTTTTAAAAGTATTAGAATGAGTTGTTTTCGATGAAAAATACGCAGTTGCGAGTCCCCTGAAAAATTCTCCTATATATTATGTATATGTAATGGGCAATACTAATTACTAATAAAACTAAAATAAAGTTAACATAAGCAAAATTAAAAAATTGCCAGAAGTTTGAGGCATTTTTGCACCGGGATCCTATTTATAAAGAAAAATTATTTTACAATTACTTATTACATAATACATATCGTTACACTAATGACAACTGACAATAGCACGTAACTGACATTTTATCAAAAATGAGAATTATACATAACAATATTCGTAATCTCCTTGCGCACATGATTTATTATCAACTTTTTTTCATATAGTGTTTAGGGCAGTTCTTCCAAAAAATGATAAGAGATAAGAGTTCTTCCAAAAGATAACACAATTTTTATTTTATCAGCGTGACCAACCCAGAAACACCAAAATATAAAATCACATTCTATCAGTCTGCCAATTCTATCAGAATAAAAGTAACTAAAATATAACTAACGTTTGTCAGAGTTAACTGTTATCTCTAGAACTAAACGGCAATAATTCAAATGATAAAAAAAATAACCGTGTTAAAATATATTATATTTTCTTAAATAGTACACATTTTTACGATACATTTATAATGACAAAAAACCAACTAGTTTATATGACGACAACGATAATTATTGGTAAAGAAAATTTACTTTCGTTTCTTATTAATATTAAATGAATATTTTTATTAGAATTCTTTTTTAATTCATAATTCAAAACTCTTATTTTCACATAATATAAACTTGCAATATTTAATATGAATAACATAATATATTTATCAATTATAGTACCTAGCGACAAAGTTCATACATACACTATATTGTACTAATTTGTGTGACAATATTATTACATCCTATTTAAATAAAACTATTAATACAAGTAAATTATGTTTTACAGTATGATGGTAGTTGTCTGAAGTCATAAAAAGCTTATCGGTATGCTTATTCATTAGAGCGGTTCGATTCCTGAAACTATCTCTAGTCTGATTAAGTGTGGTAACAGGTATGGAGTTATTTTTTGTAAAATTGTTTTAATTGATTTAATCTCTATTATTTTAATAATTAACATTTCAACTTTTAACTTATTTATTAATAATATATCTTTCAGTTTTAAGATGAGTCAAAGATTCTGGTTGAACAGTTCTCCATCGACACTAACTGGAAGAAATAATTGTTTTATCATTTGTCTAAATAGATTAGGTAAGGAAAACATTCTAGATTTGTAGTATTAATACAAATATTGATACAAAATTAGTTTAATATCAATCTAAAACACCCTAATATAGGGTATTTAAAAAAAAAGAAGTCAAATGTAAATTATCTTTCTTTTTAATAATTTAATTTACTATTTTCTAACATTGTTAGTTTTTGTACAAGAAAAATTGCATTTACTTGTAGATCTTACGCTTCATTGGTATGAGATAACAAACTAGGTCCACTTGATAAATACCGGTCACAAATATAGTCTATTCATGAAATCACTCTTCCAAGTGTTATTGATAGATAATTTAAGTTGAATGGTATAAAAAGTTGGAAGTTAAATGGTATCAAAAAATGTCATTATCAATTTTCGTTATATTTAATTTTAACTTCACAATTAACAAACGTTAACATTAGTAATTCATTTAAAATTGGTTTTATATTATAATTATTATTAATATTATTTAACCATTTGTTGTTTTTTCAGCTAGAATGTGACCAGAGGAAGATTAAATGGACATATCATGTATTTCTCCATGGACACTGTAATCCATAGACAGATTTTTGACACTATATTTGAATATTTGTTGTTGAAGTTAATTGGATTTTGTGCAAAACCCCTGGAAGAATATTCTGTATCAGACTAACAGTATAAACACCACCC